CAGTGGCTCATCTCGACTGGGCTGGGCAGGAGCAGCTGATGTGGTCTTGCCACTCCTGGTAGTGATGGCATCAAGCTGCTGGAGCTGGTTAGGATCATGAGGATTCGGAACAGTGGTGGCAGGCAAAGTCCCCGGTACCCTGGTGGTGTTCTGGCGGGCCAAGATACCCACCAGGTTCTGCAGATCTTGCAAGATGGCACCCTGGTTCCTCTGACCTGCCTCCAGTGACGTGATAGCTGCCTGAGTACTAGTCATGAACGAAGCTAGAATATTTTCCAACTTCGTCATCTGAGTATCTGGAACCGGAGCTGCTGCTGGCTCGGCGAACTGGCGCTGGGGCTGCTGGAATGGTTGCCCTTGCCTAGGCTGGTAGGGCTGCTGCTGTGGAACTGGCCCTTGCCGAGGCTGGTAGGGCTGCTGCTGTGGGGCTGGCCCCTGTCGAGCCTGGTAGGGCTGCCTCTGCTGAAAGCCACCAGCTGGTGCTGGGAAACCAGGTGGCTTAGTGGTGTTGCTGCCCCAAGAGAAGTTGGGATGCTGGCGCCACCCCTCATTATAGGTGTTGTTGTACGGGTCGAGGCGCCGAGCATTGGCGATGAAGTCCAACTGCTCTTGGGGAGTAGTAGACTCCCTCATAGCCTGGCAGTCTTCCACTAAGTGATTCGAGCTCTCACACCACTGACACTGAGCAACTGGAGGTGTAGCCAAACCTCTGCCTGGAAGAAGACTGTTGGGCTGCTTCAATGTCTGCACTAGCTCAGCTATCTGTTGCTCGAGTCCGGATCTGGACTCCAAGGCGTGCACACCACGGTCCCGGGAATGTCTGCCTCGGCTGCTCTGCCGCCAGGAATGATCTCTGGCAGCCAAAGTATTGATCATCTGGTTCAGCTCGGGTGGAGTCTTAGTGAGAACATCCCCTCCTGGGCATAAAGACTCAATCCTCTGGCTATCTGGAGAGAGAGCACTGTAGAAGTTCCCCACTGTGAATGCATCACTGAAGCCATAATGGGGACACTGCCAGAAATATCCCATGTACCGCTCCCATGCATCACGAAGTGACTCATCTGGCTCTTGGCGGAAGTGACTGATCTCCCGCTGGATCTCTGTAGTCTTCGATGCCGGATAGTACCTGTGCACGAATTTGTCAGCCAGATCGTCCCAAGAGGTGATGGACAATGGGGGCTGGGTCTCCAACCACCTCTTAGCATTCCCCGCCAGAGAATGGGGGAAGAGATGAAGGCGAATTGCATCATCCGGGACACCATTCAGCTTGAACCCGTTCGTCAGCTGCAGAAAACGGGAAAGATGTACCCTGGCCTCCTCATCCTTCAAGCAATGAAACTGGATAGAGGATGTGATGAGCTGAATCCAGCATGGCTTGATCTCGAAGTTGTTTGCTGGAATAGGCGGGTAGAGGATGACCGGGCGGATGTCAGCAATCCGCCGAGTGTAGTAGTACTCCAAGGTGGGACCCGGCTGCGGTAGATGATGAACTCCATGATCCTGGGGTATGGGGTTGTTCCCCAGGACCTGATTCACCGGGGGAGCCTGCTGAGGATTCCCCTGGTGTTGATTGTAGTCTTCCATCTCGTACTCCTCCTCAGAATCACTGCTCACGTGGCCGTCTATGCGCTTTTCCGTAGCCAGTCTAGCTCGTTGTTGTCTCCTGAGTTGGCAACAGGTGCGTTCAATCTCTGGATTCAACGGCAGTAAACCTCCCGACTGGCTACGGGTCATGCACTACCTGCACACAATCAAGCAAGCAAACCCGTGAAGGCACAAGTGGGAAAAAGCAAAAATGCGAAAAGAGAAGCTAAATTAACATAAATCACTTTTCTTCAACAACTTGAGGGTCCCCGGCAACGGCGCCAAAAACTTGACTCACTTCTACTGTCACCTCAGGAATTGGCCAAGTGAAACCACTTCCTAAAGCGTAGTATAGCGGGTTTAGGTTTATATGTCAACCCGGGTCCTAGATCTGATGACTACTCAGTGAATCCTTGTTATCTAGCAATGAAACTGGAATGCAAGTCTAGACTATCAAACTAACAAAGCAAGTAAACTGTTGTATTCAAGTTAAGAGAGGTCACCCGGATATGGTTCCCCCTAGACTACAGTTAAGCCGGATTGTCATTACCAAGTTCAGTTTCTATGATAGTTATGCTGCGGAAGGTTCTTAAACAGCCTGAAGTCTCGACTAAAGGTCATCAGACCCTCTCAATCTGAGTCTCTAGCGGGCGACTAATCTCCACCGGAGTAAACAGATTGAGGCCTTAACAAACAAAACCTCCACTACCGGAGTAAATCCGGTACAGAATAGTGAGTTGGCTCCTCGACTAAAGTCACCAACTCCCTACCTTCAATCAAGGATGCTCTATCAACCTAGGCAGATATTCTCATTCTAGGTTAAAGCAGAAACAACAGGAATTTGATCAGGATTCAAGTCATTCAATCAATCAAACCTCAATCGAATATAATCAAATCATAGAATCAGTACTTGGGTTCATACAATCAAAGCCTAACATACAAATCTAGGGTTCTCCATACCCAGATGAATGGGAGAACTACTCCATGGAGAAAGAAGCAAAAGCAGAATCAGACGCGGAATTCATACTGTGAAGGATGGATTCCTGCTCCTGGACGTTGATCGGCACTTCTTCAAGCTCAAACTGGCCTCCAATGGTGATGAAGATCAAGCTAGGGCACTTGGAGACTCTTGTTCGTCGCTTTCTCTCTCTAGGAATCGTTCTATCTCTCAAAAACTCGAATCCCCTTCTCTTTGGCTGAAAATCTGCTTAAAAGGGAATCAGTGGCCAAAGCACGGTCGAGGGCACGGCCGTGTTATGCCTCAGCCCGCCCGTGTTTTGGCTAGGGTTAATTACACGGCCAGTGCATTGGGCGAAACACGGGCGTGGTTGCTGATGGACACGGTCGTGTTTTGGTGGACACAGCCGTGCTTCTGCCCGTGTTTTTAGCCAATGTTTGCCCAACTTGAATTAGCTCTCGGCAGTAAAAGAACGGCCACAGAACACGGCCGTGTTCTGTTTTAGGTCTGCCCGTGTTTTGGCTCTAGCTTGACGAAATAACCTCCGAATGCCCCGAAACTCGTGCTTAGCCTTTCCTTTGACGCCTGGGACCTGAAATATGACAAAATAGCACAACCCGGCATAAAATATGCCAAAATACATGACTATGCCTCTCAAACGGATAAGAATTAGGGGTGCAAATACATGCAATTACATCGTTATCAAGAGCTCAAGGTGCAAACTTTCTGAAGAAGGATCCATAGAGAAATAGAGAGTTTCCTCGGTTGTATCACGACCATAGTGTAAAATGACCGCGAGGAAGATAACTGTTGGGACTCACAATATCACGACATCGCCACTGAAGATCCCGCCCACGATCTTTCCCTTGTCTGGCCGCAAACTATTGAGATAGAATTTATTGGTTTAGAGAGAGAGAAGTTGAAGGAAGGAGAAGATGAGAAGAAGGAGATGGAGCTAGAAGAGAGGAGACATCTTCCTCAACCTTAAGACTTCTTCAATGTATGAATAAGGACCTTTGGTGGTCGAGGCAATCGAACCCTTGCCATAGGTAGCCTTCCTAGACAGAACTCGGGATGAAACCTCGATGTGGATGGTGGGTAGTACCCATTGAAAGGAGCTACGAGCTTAATGCCCCATATATGATAGCCTAGATCAAGGTGACTATATATGGATCTAGGGGAGCTGTACTCGGAGGGGTGTGGATAACCATGAAAGCCCACATAAAGAGCTCACTCACCACATTCGATAAATCCTAAGTATCTAGACATTACATAGTAGCCCTAGGCTAGGGTGAGGGATAGTTCCCCGAAGTACCTGCTTTTACCTTTATCAATCTCTAGACTAGTTAATTCACTAAAATCTTCCACACAAACCCTCAAACCGATCAACTAAATATTGACGAGGTGGGAAGTAGGCTAGGGTACTAGGACCTGAGTAGCATACACCTTTATTGCCACTATATGACAATGCCATCTTAGGTTAAACTTGGCCTATGATGGGGTAGTTGTTGACACGTGCTAACCACTTACAATAATCTGCACGGATGAATGTGATCAGTGTACTCACAAAAATGAGCGCGTGCATATTTTGCACCCTAAGAACATAAGATCACAACTAACCAATGCATTACTTTAAACCCTAAACTTTCAATTTGAACCCCAACCCTAACCCTAATTCTCGAAACATTACATCCTTCAAGTCAAAGTAAATGTTGAATGATCATGTGCAAAAATTCATGAACTTTCTTGTCTATCATAGCATAAGTGATGATTGACATCGTTTTAACATGAATCTCATTCTCAGAATGATGATTATGATGTGAGTGCATAACATGCACAAAAAATGCAACTACACCGAACACAAGATCATATATATGCACTTAAAACATAACACAAACTCAAATAAATAACCAGTAACCAAGGTTTATTGATGAAGTGAATCTAAATAACAGCTAGCATATATTGAGTTATAAACAATTGCTAGTATTGAGTTATGGGGACACAAGTTAAGGCACAACTCGATTAATAAGACACAACTTAGAATGATAAAATTCATGGTGTCTCTTTGCACCCGGAAAGTTCCCAAAGCTAACATAGTAATTATGGGGATCCGATCTGGACTCCCTCGTTTGATCTCCTCAAGAGTGGAAGAACCTGTGAGGCGGGGGGCGGCCCCCGGGATCTATGCTCCGACACCCAAGTTAGTACGATGTAGGAAATAGTAGTAGGTGAAGGTAGAGAGAGAACCGTAAGTGGAGACTATGTGAGGGGAGAAGAGGATCTCTAGTTTGGAGGGTTAGGCCTCCTTATATAGGGCTTGGGCTTCCTTGAGTGGGCTTGGGCCCAGGACGCCTTCTGGTGGGCTTTCGCCCGTTTATAGTCGTGTTAGGCATATTAATCCACATCCCAACAGTTTTCCCTTTACTTCTTGTGTTCTGTAAGAATGGAAGGAGTAACATAATGCGTTAATCGTGTATTAATTTGCCTTACTTGTGAATCCGGATGGTGCGGTTTGCCCCTTGTGTGAGTTGCGTGATCCTTTCTTTTGCCCCTTGCTTAGCTTTCGATATCTTTAACTATAGCTCTCAAGTTGTTAAGAGTTCCTTCGCTTGTCCATTGTTGTTAGCGTTAGCAAGCCATAGCTATGAGCTAGGTATGGTGGCCCCCACGACTTGAGAGTTTTAACTCAAGACGCTCTTGTGTCTCACCAATGTCGCACCCATATGTGTTCAGAGCTCATGTGTCTTGTCAATGTCTTGCTTGTGTGAGGCAAGATCAACTATTATCTTCTTGTTGATGTTGCCCCCCCTACTAGGAGGCGTTTCGTCTTCTAGCATGTTGGTTCTTACTTTTAGCCTAGCGAGAGGCGTTGTATCTTTCGCTTCCTTGGAAGCGCTTACGCCTTCGGCTTCCTGGGAAGCGCTTTAGTCTTTCAGCTTCCTGGGAAGCGCATTGGTCCTTCGGCTTCCTGGAAAGCTCTTTCGTCCTTTGGCTTTCTAGGAAGCGCTTAAGTCTTCGGCTTTCAGGGAAGCACATTGCTCTTTCGGCTTCCTGGGAAGCGCATTGCTCCCGGCTTCCTAGGAAGCGCATTGCTCCTTCGCTTCATGGGAAGCGCATTAAGTCTTTGACTTTCGGGGAAGCGCATTGCTCCTTCGCTTCCTGGGAAGTGCATTAAATCTCTGGCTTTCAGGGAAGCGCATTGCTCCTTCACTTCCTGGGAAGCGCATTGCTCCTTCACTTCTTAGGAAGCACATTAAGTCTTTGGCTTTAGGGGAAGCGCATTGCTCCTTCGCTTCTTGGGAAGCGCTGGCTTCCTGGGAAGCACATTGCTCCTTCACTTCATGGGAAGCGCATTGCTCCTTTGGCTTCCTGGGAAGTGCATTAGTCCTTCGGCTTCCGAGGGAGCACATTAGTCCTTTGCTTCTTGGGAAGCTCATTCGTCCTTCGGCTTCATGGGAAGTGCATTAGTCCTTAGGCTTCCTGGGAAGTGCTTTAGTCCTTCGACTTTCTGGGAAGTGCTTAAGTCTTCGGCTTCCTGGGTAGCGCATTAGTCTTTCGGCTTCCTGGAAACCGCTTAGTCCATTGGCTTCATGGGAAGCACCTAAGTATTTTGGCTTTTTGGAAGTCTGAAGGCGGTCTTCGAGCCTCGCGGAGGGCGAAGGCGTGAATCATTCCCCTAAGGGTGCATCACTCAGAGGCGGGAAGCATTCCCTAAAAGGAGCATCGCTCCGAGGTGGAAAGCATTCCCAAGAGGGAGCATCGCTCGGAGGTGGGAATCATTCCCGAAAGGAAGCATCGCTCGGAGGCGGGAAACATTCCTTAGAGGGAGCATTGGTCGGAGGCGGGAATCATTCCCGAACGGGAGCATCGCTCGGAGGCGGAAAACATTTCCTATAGGGAGCATCGCTCGGAGGCAATTTTCGAGCCTTTCCCGGAGGCGGAAGGCCTGAATCATTCCCGGAGGAAGCATCGCTCGGAAGCGAGACGCATTCCCGGGAGGGAGCATCGCTCGGAGGCGGTCTTTGAGTATTGCTCGAAGTTGGATGGCATGAGTCTTCATATATCCATGAAATAAGTGATTGACTTGTGTCCAATATATTTAGAGCATATTACATTGCAAGTTTCGTATGTTTGTAATGAGCCTATTCATGTAGGGGTGGGCAACGGGACGGGACGGGATACCCGTCCCGTTTTAAACGGGTACCCAGTCCCGTTTGGAGACCAAAGTCCATCCCATATCCCAAACTCATATGGGAAACGGGTACCCATTTCCCGTACGGGACGGATAACGGGTACCCATACTACCCATAAATACCCAAATTTTAAACCACTAAAATTTTAACAAAAGTTTAAACTTGTATTTGCTTAACAATCACAAGACACAAAATACATCCCAATCACAAATACTCGGTTTGCAAATAACACATTCATGAACAATCACAACACATAGAAATAAATCATTCCAAGCACCAAATTATCAAATAAGAAGTTTTATTCAACACAACAAAATGGGAGGCATGCTGCTACTTTTCTTGTGTTGTTGAATGCAGAAAGTGTCCAAATTTTTAGGTTCATGAGAAGCTAAAATCTATAGCAGAGAAGCTGAGTCTCACTGAAAGGGTAAGGGCCCTGGGCCCAAATGGCAAATGGAATTGAAATTGCAAGGGTGAGGGCCGAAATGGCCAGGGTTCTGAATGGGGTTGGAGTGCCTTTGTATTAAATGGGTATAACGGGTACCCATATTACCCAAACGGGTATTCGCGGGTAACCCGCGGGTACCCATATTAGGAATGTACAACCCCAAGTCCCATCCGTTTATAATATTACAGGTAATATGGGTACCCGTAACCCTTAAAAAAGGGACGGGTACGGGTATACCCAAATACCCGTTTCCCGTTGCCCACCCCTATATTCATGGCATAGCATTTGTGAGATATATTGTTGATAAATATACTCAGCTTGTTAATAGACGGCGGCAGAGAAGTGCTCAAAATTTGTGTATTGAAAGAAGGTTGCACAAAGATGCATTAGCTCACTGCTCACTGGCAGATTCCTTTGTTTGTTCGATTCTGGTTGCCCGTCCGAGACCCAACGGAGGCGTTTTTAATTTAAGGGCTGCTAAACCTCAATGGATGCGGAGCGGGCCGGGCAAGTTTGAAGCGTGCTGAATGGAGGCGGTCCATGTTGAAGAATTGGAAGCGGCCCATTCGACGCGAGGCGGGATCGCCTTGGGAGACCAAATACGAGGCTGGCCAAGGCTTTGCGGAATGATGTGGCGGGCCGGATTGGACTGGAGGTCGGCCACGCTGAATGTGGTACTGACACGTTCTTGGGCTTCGTGCATGCCAAATCTTGACCGGGCTTTAGTGTTAATAACCTAAGGCGGTTGAGCAGGCTGGATTGGACTGGAGGTGGGCTGTGCTAGATGTGGTACTGAGGCGTTCTTGGGCTTCTTTCGGGGCGGACCGCTCTCTGTTTGTTGGTGGGAAATGTTGTGAACTTTGAAAGTGTGTTTGCTTCGAGCAACGATGTCGGGTGGGCACCGTTGAAGAGATGGAGATGGGAAGCGGTTTAATATGTTTTGTTGCAGATAATAGTCATCAGTTGTGCGTGTAGCCAATTGGTCGGTGTGTTTGTAGTTCATATCATTGCGCAGGTTCGAATCTCACAGTAGACGTTTTTCATTTCCTTGCATTGCAGAAGCTTGAGGATTCGCGAAGCGGGCCGAACGCGGGACAGGCCACGAGCTGAAGGCGGATCTTGACTTGGGCTTTAGTGGGACCGCGTGCAAGAGGGGCTTGGAATGCGGGCCGCCAAATGTCGGACTGGTTGGGAGTGGAGTTGGGCTTGCAGTCTTGGCGGGCCAAACTTTAAAGGCGTTCCAATTGAGGGCAAACCTCGTTGCGAGTGGGCGGAGGCCAGCCTTGCCGATTTTGATCCACGAGCGGTCCAGATGGTGATTGCGTTGGAATCCAGATTGTGCTCTTTGCATTTTCTTCTGTCATTTTGTCAACCCAAATCCTTTTCCAACAAGTGCAGACCATCATTCTTTGAAGGCGTTCTTCCCATTCGGCATGCGCTTTACGTCTTCTATTTTGAGGCGCTTCCCCAATAACTCTGCTGCCTCGGTACTCTCCCGTTTGATTTTCCTGATATAAAGAGAAAATGGCATTGAAGTGACACCCACTGTAACAATATAGTCTACTTTGTGGGTAAGAGAAGGAGAAAGGGACGTGAAAACAACCTGTCATAGCGTTGATGTTGACTACTCGCCTGAGCTCCGTTGCCGGCGGCCGGAATTCACCTCTAGCAATCGGATCTGGAGATTTTGCTATAGCTCCCACCCGTATGTTCTTTTGGGTAGCTAGTTTCATTTGATTCGCGGTTGTCCACGGGGAATCAACGTCTTTATTTGAGCTTCTTTGTTTTGTAGGTTGGATTAGTTGGCGATGTGAGTTTCCTGCAACATACGACTTTCGCTTGGGGCGGTAGTGGTCAGAGGAGATGTCAGCGCTCGCAGTGATGAGAAGCTGGATGATGACCAGATCATGACGGATCTACGGCTATTTTGGGCAAGTTGTCGACCAGATCTGGAGCTTGGTCCTATTAACCCGAGGGATGAAGAAGATAGTCAAGTGGTCTGGGAAGAAAGTGCGACCAATTCTTTTGCTCCTGCCGGTTTGGCCGTTACTGCGGTCGTTTGTAATTGGTAGAGGAAGACCATTTCTTCCCTCCTTTAGAAACCAAAATATGGATCTCCAAATCAGAGCCCCACGGTGGGTGCCAAATTGTTTGCACCCGGAAAGTCCCAAGGCTAACATAATCATTATGGGGCTCCTATATGAACTCCCTCGTCTGATCTCCTCGGGAGTGGAAGAACCTGTGAGGCGGGGGGCGGCCCCCGGGATCTACGCTCCGACACCCAAGTTAGTACGATGTAGGAAATAGTAGTAGGTGAAGCTAAAGAGAGAGAGTTTAGAGAGAGAACCATAAGTGGAAAGTGTGTGAGGGGAGAAGAGGATCTCTAGTTTGGAGGGTTAGGCCTCCTTATATAGGGTTTGGGCTTCCTTGAGTGTACTTGTGCCTAGGACGCCTTGCGGTGGGCTTGGGCCCGTTTATATTCGTGTTAGGCATATTAATCCATATCCCAACAGTGTCAATCATATCATACTAAAACACAACTCGATTAAGTGTATGCAGAAAGCAAATGATTTTTGAATGGAAAAGGTGGGGGAAATAAAAGATTGTTTGATTAATGAATTTGAAGTATGAATTCGGGTCTAAATATATTATCATCATTAAATTGAGCAAATTTATCATTAAATCGAACAAGCAAACAACAATATTTTTCTCTCTTCAAATTCGTAATGGACCAATTCAATCGCAAAATCTAGGTTTTTCAAAAATGAAATTAAAACCAAAACTTCACTCTTTCAAATCTAACAAGCAAACCACCCTAATATAAAAGAAAACAGAGCAAGAGTTGCATGATTTTACCTACCAAATCGAACCAAAACCTCGTGTCCTATTTGCTATACTTATGTAGAGAATGCCTTTTACATCGATGGTTCAACGTAAAAGCCTATACGTTGAGGCGAGTGGATTTTCGCCAATAGTGTTGATCACGATAAACAGAGAAGTAATTCACCAAAAAATTAAGCCCATGATGGATACACATAGTGATGGCAATTTGAACCCGCCCCGACCCGTAATAGGGCGGGCATTACCTGGCCCGTATTACCTGACCCTGCCTTGTCCCGCCCCGTTGTTGGCCCATTCTATCACAATTTCTTACCGTAGCTTAGTTTGGCCCTACTGTAGCTTTTGCAGAAGCAGCTTCTGACTGAAGCTTTTAGATAAGTACTTTTCAAAAAAAGCAGTTGAGTGTTTGGTTGTAAAGCTATTAGAATGGCTTTTTAATATGAAAGGTTGTGTAAAATGACTATAAAGGACTTATAATATAAAATATGAATAAAAATTATAAACAATATAAAGTAGTCAAAATGGATCTTGATAGATTTCTTTTATATTAAATAATAAGAATTTATAATTTATTTTATTTTTAAAATGATATAAATGAAGGAAAATTATATTTTTAGAAATAAAATTAAAATATGGTAAGGATAATCTTGTATTTTCAAAACAGCTTTCCGCAGAAGCTCCAAATCGGAGCTTCTGCTTTTATTTTATACAAAAGCGCTTTTCGGCTTTTCAAAAGCTGAGTTTTTAGAGGTGTTTGGCCCTGATTCAACTTTTGAAGTCGAAAAGCACTTCTAAAAGTCGGGCCAAACATAGGCCGTATCTATACAGATTTCTCCTATTTTGACTTTTATTCAACTAGTTAGAGTCAATTTTTCATCTTGATAGACTCAATTGCCCATCATATTATCAGTATTTTTTCATTCATAAAGTGTTTTCTCCTTCATTTTATCGTAAAAAGTAAAATTTTTGTGTATTTTTTTCAAATTACATGTAAGAAGACTGGGTCGACCCCCCTCCCATACCACTCGGATTTTATCCGCCTTGACCCGCAGTACCTTAGGGCGGGGCAGAGGGGCGGACCCATGTGTTAGGGAGGTGTGTCAAGCGAAACCTTTTCAAAAACAAAATAATAGCCAAATAGTTAACTTTCCATCTAGTCAAACATTAGTCGACTATGACGTGGCAAGATCATTACTGAGATGGAATGAATTTGATGAAGTAACAGAATATCAAACATTTGACTATGTCACATGAATAATTATAAATTTTAAATAATTCTTCTCTTTGTATAGAAAAAAAAAAAATTATCCGTTATCTTCTTCTCCTCCCTCCCCATCAACCTAGCAATCTAAACCTACCTTACCTCCAGCGAATCTCGCCGCTAAACTTTCCCTCCCATAAAGTCCCTCTCTCTCTCTCTCTCTCTCTCTAAGTTATGTGTGTGTAAACCTCCTAAATCCAACCTTCCTTATTCTTCCTTCGAACATTTTCTTCACTTCCCAATTGACCCACAACTCCAAAATCGCCGAACCCAGAAGCAACATTCACTCTCCCCGCGTAACTTTTCCTATTTTTTGCGCTACTGCCCAAACTAGTGGTGGTGAAACTCGAGCGACGCCATCAACTGCCGACTGTCCTGGAGCAGTGGGTGACGGCGTCGAGATTCCTCGAAGGAAAGGTGAGTTAAGTCGTATGGTCCATGGAGTTGAGCACGAAAGATGGTAGCGAAGCCGCCGTAATAGATGACAAAGTAGGTGAAGTGATTGAGCTTGAGGTAGCACTAATCATTGGTGGCGAGCTTGATGTCGGAGTAGGTGAAGCGATTGAGCTTGTTGACAAGAGGGGAATCCTTGAATGAAATGAGGCTCGACACAATGGCGAGAATGATAGTTGTGAGGATAGGTCTCTCTCAGTGGGGGTGGTGGTGGTGGAATAGTGGAGGAAGGAGAAGTAGATGTGATTTCGGTAGAGGCTGGTTCATTTCCATGGGAGAGAGGGAGGGAATAGATAAGGAGATGTGTGATTGTGGTTTTCTATTTGTTTATTACACTAGATCATGGTCCGGCCTGTTGGCCGGGTAAATTTAGTATTGTTGTATATTTACACTGAACATTAAGGTAAAAATCCTATATGAGCAATTCACGATTTGTTGTGTTACAATGGTTTTCCTCCTAAAAATTGCAATAAGAATATATGATTTGGTTGTCATAAAACATGTCTACTTGACCATGAAACTAAAATGATAGTCTTCTAATGGGACTTAGTGATTCGGCTTAGTATTTCTCCCAAATACCTCACTTGGATTTAAACATAATATGGTTTATAGATATGGAATTACATTATATAATTAAGACGGATCACTATGTATAATGGTGTTTGATGCGAGACATACCTAAGAACAATATAGTATCTTCCCTATAAGAGATTAAAAAAAATCTTAGCCTTGATTGATGTGAATGAGACCGTAATAGAAACTTCGCAGCATGAAAACAAAATGAAAGGAACTAAGCATCGCATATAATACATTTATTAGAGAAGGGATAACAACTAATGAAAAACTTGTAAATTGTGAAGTCATTGAAGTTGAAGGGATTCATGCATAGATGGGGTGTAGGTAAATAAAAACTAATTTATCACATTTATAGAGTGCTGAAATTGGTATCAGATTCATATAAGTTTGCTGAACTGAATTTAGCTTTTGAACTAAGCATGTTTGTTGAATCAAGTTCGTTGGTTACATAGAAACTCGAGCAGTTGCACAAAAAAATGCGTTGTATAACTCTTTGATAATTTAGAAAGCAAAATAAAGAGCGTCACATTATAACTTAGTTTAATAGAGAAACCAAATAACAAAAATAGTCATGTGGCCATTTTAAGAATCACGAGCAACAAAATATCGTGTCAAATTACTAAGTTAATGAAGACGAATATGAAGACAAAGGCCGACATTCTTAACATTCATATGAAATGAACGGTTAGTTTTAATGATGAGTTTATTTATTGACAAATTTTTCACTAACCAGTGAATGAGTGTGCAACTTTATGGTTTGAAATCAAGCAATTAAAAATGAGTTGAGACTCATTGTGATCCGAGAAAGAGCTTAAATTGAAGTTGCAGTTTAGCATATATGCCTCGCTGTATACTTCACAATGACCTTATTTTATTGACAAAATTTTCAATAAACTATGCATTTTCATTGAAATGGTTTAATAAGTTTATATGAGATGAAGTAATGATTAATTTTTCAACCAACAACCCGTTCATGCAAAGTGAGTTATAAAATAATGGTCGAATCGATTTAGTTTAATAGTTCAAACTTATCCCAGATAGCCCAAATTCACCCTAATATATGAAAAATGTTTCTAATACTATATATTTGTATTCAAATAATGTAAAGTATAAAACAAAAATCACCTATAATCTAAAAAACAATAAATAAGTCAAATATAGATGTCCATGTGTGATGGTCTTATCCTTGGGAATCCCAATCCACCATAGATTTTCTCCTTCCTTATCCCTTCTCAACCCAAATAACGACCCAATCTGTCATTTTTCATAGCGGATTCGAAGTGCTATATTTCGTTTCCCTATTTGATTTCCATGCTACCGCTTCATTTATTAGAGCACAATAATGAATTCAATTCTAACCCCTTCTCCCATTCGTTATTCATAACACCTTGAGACTCGATGTAAATTAATTAAAGGTCCGAGAGCGTGGAGAGCTTAAGAGCAGACAATAGCTAAGTCGTCAGGGAGGAAGTCCTCTGGAAAACTTGTACCATGAAAGGATTGTAGAGCGGGGGTGTACCAAGAACGGAAAAAGGTGAAAGTGATTGAGCGGGAGACGCCGGCTAGGAGATTGACAGAGAGGGTGAAGGTCGAATTGCCGCCCAACTGTTAAGTGTGGGAGAAGAAGAAAGAAACATTAGCGATTTGAGAATTGGGACTGAAGTTCAGTGGTTGAAGAGGACACCGAGAGAGAGGTGAAGTTTTGCGTTTTCTCATTTCCTTCTGCAAAACTAGGTTGATGTTGTTCGTTTAGGAGACCTGGTCTGGAATGAATCGAACGGTCTGCCATTGGTTGGCTACAATGGGAATTAGAGTTTTTCCTCCCTTTTCCCACTCGGTCGACACTTGTCACTGAAAAAGAGAGGCAATTGTAGATTTTGCCCATCCTCTCCTGCAACAAGAAAATTATCGGAGATTCTCAGTCTCTCGGGGAGTTTGTTTTAAACGACAATTCTCTTGATCAATCCACTACTTATCTACATAGGTGAAAAGTTCGAGGAAGGTTTAAGGATTGAAGTGCGGAAGAGGTGAAAAGTTTCGGCTGAAGCAGAGGTAAAAAGCACCAGCAACAGAGGGGTTAAGGATTAAAGCGAAGAAGAGGTGGGGAGAAGAGAAAAGGAAATGAAAAATAAAAAGAGAAAATTATAATTGATTGAAGGCACGCAGTGTGGGAGCAAATATAGGGACAAAACGCGGCGTGTAATTACTGTGGTGAAATTCCTTTTAATGACCTACCGAAAAACGCTCTCATGCTTAGGATTTTGAAATGGCCGATTCTAGACCCATGAAAACGCATTATATATAGTCTACATTTTTTCAATAAATTAATTAAAAGGTGACACATCTTAATTTGTTGCCAACTCACTCATTAAACAAAGTCGGTGCCAACTTAGCAATGATTTTGCCACATCATAGTCAACTGACATTTGACCGGATGAAAAGTTAACGGTTTGGATACTATTTTGTTTTTAAAAAGATTTGGCTATTATTTTGTTTAAATATGAAAGGTTTGACTATTAAATTGTATTGAGTAAATTGCCAAGTTGGTCACTGAAATTACTAAAGTGGTTCATGTTTGGTCACTAAAAATATTTAATTACATTCGTAGTCACTGGAATTAATCAAACCGTGCAAATTTCGTCACTCTCCGTTACCTTCCGTCAATCTCCGTTAACACCGTCAGTTTTTTGCTGACGTGGCTAACATAAATGTTGAGTCACCAAAATTTAATATGAAAAGAGTAAAATCTGAACGCCACGTCAATAAATCTGCCAAATCATAAGAGCCAACCTTGTAAATCAAACCCATCAATTAAACCATCCAAACCCATCAACAACCCCACGTCAATAAACCTGCCAATTAATAACATAGCCATTCTCTCGTTCTCCAGCAAATTTTGGGATTTATCTATGCTCTGGCGGCGTAGATGGTGGCGCGACGGCTTCCGACGATGCAGATCTGTTGGTACTTGATGAACAATAGGTAAAATGGATCTGGGTCGCACGCTAGTGGCTGCTCCTTTGGGAACGTCGACGTCATTGGGGCTCTCGACTTTCGTGGTCGCCCTCCTTTGGCTTGTCCTTAATCTGCTTGCTATTCGTTGGATTCGCTCACCATCGCCTCTGCAGCAAAGGGCGGTAAACAGAGGCTGACTCTGAACCAACTGTTGGGTATCGTGTATCGAAGTCTTCTCCAGAAATACAGTGTTCTCTAAAAATACAACGACATGAGGTAAAAGCTGGGGGTTCAGATATGGGTTTTGATAGAGGCGATGGAGAATTGGATCAAGATATTTTGGGAAGAATGGTAAGCGATTGAGGGAGGTGTGACGCGACAGGCAAGAACGAGCAGAATAGAGGGTTTTTCGTTCTGGGATTTTGGGAGAAAGAAGGTGAATCGTTTTTTTATCTCTTCGAGCTTCTCCGTCTTGGCTTGGCGTCGAGAGTCCGTGATGGCAAAGACGATGAAGCGGTGGTTCACTAAGTCTTGGGTGCGGAGCTTGAGGGAGGAAATGGAGATTGCGCAGTTGAGAAGATGGAGAGTTTGGGATTGAGGGACGGGACATTGATGGTAGAGGTGAAGTGGAGATGATTTTTTCTCAGTTGGATCAACTAGAGGAAGAAGAGGAAGGGTCAGGTCAAGGGTTCGGTTGGATTGAATTGGGTATCTTATTGGGATGGTTTTAATGACATGGCAGATTGGTTTTATTTTATACTAAAATTAGCTGATTAGTTACTTTCGTTAGCCACGTCAGCAAAAAACTTAGGGCATTAACAAAGGCGGACGGAAGGTAACGAACAGTGACCAAACTTGGATGGTTTGATTAATTCTAATGACTACGAACGAAATTAAATATTTTTAGTGACCGAACATGAATCTTTTTAATAATCCTATTGACTAACCTTGCTATTTACCCCAAATTGTATTTAACCAAAACAAAAAGAAGATGATTAAGCCCATAATGGATACACACTGTGCCGGTCTATAGGGATGGCAAATTACCCACCCATGGGTAATTATACCCAAACCCAAGTAGACCCATTGATAATGGGTTGGGTATGGGTGAAGTGCATATGTATTTGGGAGTTTATAGATGAGTTTGGGTAAGGTATGAATATTGCTTCCATAATCTAAATGGGTATGGGTTGGATATGAATATCCATTTACTTGAGGGTGTTTTAACTACACATGCAAATATTGGACCTATTTGTAAAACTTGAAAAGTTTAGGTACCAAAATGTAAGACCAAAAAAAATTAGGTACCAAAACGTAATTTTCCATTGATATTTTGAGGACTTAAATGTAAAAAAAATTAAATTTAGGTACCAAATATGCATATCTATTAAGTTTTGGTACCAAACTTTAATTTGTATTTGAGCATGGGTACAAACCTAAATCTATTTGATATAAACCCAACTCAACCCAAAGTAAATGGGTACGGGTACAAACCAATCAAACTCTACCCATATCCATCTATTTGGATTTCATACTCAACCCAATTGGGTTGGATAGTAAGAAACCCATGGGTATGGGCAAAGTTGCCATTCCTATCGGTCTAGGCCCAGTCGTAGATGGACCGACGCTGAAAGTGTGCAGGCCTAGACTAATAGATTTGCTTTCCTGGAGTCGACCTTGAGCGGACTTGGTAAGCACTAAGCTGTAAACCCTACTAAGGAAAAACTAGCTTTGTACCCGGCCTGTTGGCCGGGGTGAATTTTAATTATTTCAATCAATTTATGTTTTTTCACTTTATTTTTCAAAAAATATTTATTTATTTTTGACTTTCTAAGTTTATGAATGCGTAAGTAAGTTTTTTTTTTCTCAACTAAGTAGACAACATCAATCTATAATTTGTAGTCTTTAATATAAATCATACATAATTTTAAGTTAAGACACTCAATTTTTAATCAATAACTATTGGCATCCAGCTAAGCCTATCATATGCACATGATAAATTTTGTGTTAATATTTATCATGCTCACGCATAATGACTCAATTCTATCTAACTTTTATACATATCCTAAGGAGGTTTAGAAGTCTTGTTGTGCACATTTATGTTCAAATGTCAAATATTCACATTTATCATCTTATACATGATACATGAAGCAATGTTAGTTCCCGAAATCTAGCGAATGAATTGTTTATTTTTTGTAAAGAATGAATTCATTTCTTTACCATAAGATCAATTAATCAATAAATTATTAGCGGTGGTTCTCATTTCCTAAGTATTCTGAACTGAAGGATAACAAATAAGTGTCCAATAAACCAAATTTAGTCTCGTATCCAAGTTACTTTTCTTCATTCTATAACCTCTTTGTGGAATTTGTGATTATAAACTTTTTTGTATAAGTGGACATCAAAATCATTTGACATACTAACGTGTAATAGTTTTGAAAATGATAGACTCAAATTAATAGTATTTTAACCATGAAGAATTTTTGTTTAATGATAAAAAAGAACGAAAAAATCTATAAAAAAAGAACTAAGAAAGAACTTCTGTTCACTTCAAAATAGAAAAACAAAAAATCGCAATTTCTATTCTAATCCAACTGTTGCAGGAGGGAGAATATAATGAAGAGAAATAGAGAATGGATTATCTAACCATAAAAAACTGCATGAAAAGTTAAAAGAAACCGCAAAAAAGTGGAAACCACCCGCTATAATACAACCCATAAACCCTATTAAAAATAAATACAGAAAATCAAAAGTTACGAAGAAGTTTTAATTCTGCGGTGGAGGATCTTTTTGTCGAACCCCTTTTATAAGTTTATAAAACTTATTTATCAGTCAACCTATAATTAAATAAATTTGAAACAATTATCAATTGGTTACCGAGTTTGTGATTAATTGGACTCTAGTGCGGACTCATGTCTGAGTCAAACTTTAGGGATTGATGCTCACAGAGCAACTTTTAGCGATTTAAGCGATGTTGCAGATGCGAGTAACGAAACAAACCCAAAAGAGAGAAAGATTAGAAAGGTATAGTAAGAACAATTGTCTCATACAAACCAAAGGAAGGTGTATATGGAAATGTGTGAAGAAAACACAGTGTGTCAAAGGGGAAACAGAGGTAGAGTAGACAACCATATGACTGAACAAATTGAAGCAACAATGGACTGAAAATTAAATATTACCTGTGGGAATCCCATTCAGTCATAAGGCAGGGATATTGCGACGTTGGCTGTATGAAGAAGATGCTCGCCAGCGCGGATAATTCAGGGTGTTCGGAACGGTGGCCCGAAAGGATATTATACGCGTGGTTACAGATTTGATTGTATGGAGAAACTTTCGCCGGCTAGGAAATTAGGGGGCTTCGGAACGGTGGCCTGGAAAAATGCACGATCGGGAAGAAATTATAATTGGAGAAGATACAAAAGAGAGTAGGGGACGCAGTTTCCGTGGCGGAAGAGAAATTTAAGGAGAAGATAATATATAGGAAAAAGCAAAGGTAGTTTTTGGAGAGGAAGAAAGATTTTGGCCAAGATCAAATTAACCAAGGAAAAAGGGCCGAAGCAGGAAAATGGAGGGTGACACGTGGATAGCCTCTTTTTTCAGTTCGGGGTACGTGGCATGGGGGCAAAACTCAAACTGTTTTAATATTTTTTAAGACTCGAAATAAGCAGAAAAGTATATGAAAAAAAGAAAAAGAAATTTAGAATGGATCAGAAAATTGAAAAGAAGATAAATAAAAGAAATAATAATAATAATAATAATAATAATAATACGATAACAAAAACGCAAAATTTTTCATTTTCAAGAAAATACATACCAGAAAGAAAGAAAATAGCGAAAGGGGAAAGAGTGGGAGAGGGGGAGAGGAGTAAAGGAAGGAATAGGTTTTTGTATTCTCCCTTGTCCTTTCTGGTACAAATCGTTTAACGTAAGAGGGAGGAGCAGGAGCAGCCAACTGCGACAACGGCCTTCTCTTCTTTACTGGGGGTCGACAATGGGGAGTGAAAGCGGCAGCAGAAGCAACAATGGCGGCGGCGGCGGCGCGTCGGTGCAGCAAGTACCGGCGGAACACAAGAAGATTTTTCAGAGCTTGAAGGAGGTTGTAAACAACGGCAACTATACCGACGCCGAGATCTATGCCGCTCTTCGGGACTGTGACATGGACCCAAACGACGCCGTCCAGAAGTTGCTGTCCCAAGGTTCTTGTTGCTTGCTTTTCTCCTTCTTTTCTGATTCGGTTGCTTCTTCCCTGCTCTGTTATTTGTGTGGCGGAGTAAATATAAAGTAGCTTAGGGTTTTTGTGGTGGTTTTAGTTTGTGCTTCGTCACCGCTTATTTTCATGATGTTAATTCTAGGGTTCCAAGAAAGTAAGAGTCTTGTGATTTTTTCTTTCTCGGCCGAGGGAAACTCAGTGGCTGTTTGTTTATTTGGTTGAAAGTAAAATTGAAAATGGGTTACTTTCAAAAGCCATGGCTCTCTGTTATTCTGTTTTGTTTGATAGTGCATTAGTTGTTAGAATAAAAATTTAATATCGTTCTTGTGGCCGGAATCTGTTTCTATTATGTGAGGAGCAAAAGGGTTCAGAACGATTCTTGTCCGGCGAGAAAAGAAAACTGGTTCTGTTTGTGGTCTGAGAAACTGAAGCTCAGAATACTGAGCAGCGGAGTAATACTTTTATTTTGTAGCAGCTATGTTTGGTAGATTCTTCTTTATAGCTTTGTTGCTCTTCAGGCCTCCGAAATGTCTTCAGCTGTAGTGATAGAGCTCGTAGGCGTCGGTGGGCTTCCGTGATTATGTGGTTAAGTTTTTCGTTGGTTCAGTCTGCTTGTTTAGATAGTTATCTCAGCTCTCGACTTGTATTTCCTTCTTCCGTCCGGTGACATTATTGCATTTCTTATGCACACTAAGACTTGGGAGTATCTTTTGGATTCTTATTTAATTAATAGTTTTCAATTGTGTAGATATTTTTCATGAAGTGAAAAGCAAACGTGAAAGAAGAAAAGAGGTACCCTTGTGAAAGTACCCGCCCTGCTCTATCCTCCTTTAATTTTCCTTGTTTATTTTCAAATTTTTTCAAGTGGTTAAAGAAAGTGAATTCATCACTTGCTCATATCTCTAGTCCGTTCTCAGTTATCTATTTTGATGATTAGTGTACCATGCCTTTCTTAGAAGAACGAGAGGCCTTCTCAGGGTACTTCCACTAATTAGATGGGTGTTGCTTGCTGTTTTGTCGCTTCTTACTTTTCTCATCTCCGCAAATGTTTACTTCAATTTCGCAGATGAAGGACACACAGAACTTGAAGAGCCGGGGCGATAGTAGTCACCTTGCAGCTAAAGTTAATGCTGAGCGTACTGTTGGAGAGGTTCAATCTCAATCCGGCTATAATGGTGGGTTTATATGTTTGTTTTACTCTGGAGCTCCTTCATTTCATGATAGTTGATTACTTTGTTTCATTAAGTCTATTGTAGTCTTGAGGTCTCATCACCTGAACTTCTTTCCCTGCAGAGCTTAGTAAAGCTGCATACAGGAGAGATAATGGGTCTGCTGGTCCTGTCTTACCTTCATCTTCTTTGACATATGAAGTGAAAACTCCTAGTGACCGGCCTTCATCTCATAGGTTTGTTCTATTTATATTCCTTCTCTCTATGGAGCATCATTAGCTGGAAAACATAATTAGTTTTCTTCTTTTCTGCGGTGTACAAGTTCATGTTTCAAAATTTTCTATTTTGATTCCCATTTGAATCCGACTTGGCTATGCTCTAATGTGGGATAATAATGAACATGTGGCAGTGATGGTACTACTGTGCTGCTGTAAACAGTTATTTTCAATGCTAGGTCTATTTTGCGAAGGCCTCCAGATTGCAGTATCCATGGTAGTTTAGAGGCTTGACAATTTCTGGTCCCTGACAAGTATCGTTCTTTCACGTTAGTCACACAATTCATATGCTCCTAAAACGAGCACTACTTTGGGAAAATTTGCTGATGGAAATATATTTGTTATCTTTCTTTGTTTGCTTTATTTCTCATTGGGAAACAAGTGTATTAGTGACTCTATACTTGTCCATGTCATTGTATCTCATCAATATGTTCTGCTTGTTTGATATTTTGAAGTATTTTGTATTAATTGGATCTTGTATCTTGCATCGCAGTGATTCATTTGAAGGTAAGAATACTAGAAAGAACGTAAGACCTGGTGATTCATCTGCGCAAGGCTCTCTAGTTTCCCAATCCGCTGGGTTAGGAGGTTCATCTGGACATGTTTCCATGGCTGACATTGTTAGGATGCGAGGGCCTCAATCAAAGGGTATACAAACATCTGTTGGAACATCATCCCACTCACTGTCAGATGCTAATTATGATGGTTTTTTTAGTAGCTCTCTTAAAACTTCACCCTCTCCGCCAGAAATGGACCAAAATGTGGAATATGCACTTCTGCCAAATGGTTCAGATGTTACTCGTGAATCTGTTACACTTCCAAGTCAGAATGGGTATGATAATGAGCGACTTTTGATGGAACGGAGAACGGGCCATCCATCTACATTTAATTGCTCCAGTTCTCCGGTTTTGGATAGATTTTCTACTCAGTGTTACACACATAGCCGTGGATCTGAATTATCGGCAGATAGCTCCTCCAATACATGCAAAGTATTGGAGGAGGATGCTCCCAAACATCTCGGCATGGAGTTTGTCAAATCAGTTCCCGTTTCTGTTACCAGTGGTATGTGAAGTTCTGATGAGGTTTCATGTAAAGATTTGACTTTCTAGGATTCACTAAATGGTTTTGGCTTTTGTCCTATGACATATGATGCCTACCATTGCATTCTAAAATAGCCAGACTGACTTATGTTCCTTTGCAATAGCTCTTTCCTATGTGTCCAGCCATTAGTCCATGAAAAACCATTATGAAGCTGGCACCATTTAGGAGTAGGAAGATACATTTTCAATGTTATGTGTTGCTGATCTTGTATGGTTCCATGAACCATCAGAGGTTTATGCCTTCTCAGTTCTCTTTGCTTCCTGTGTTGCAAATATGGCATGCTTTCATCTTTTTTCGTGCCTCACTTTTGTTGAGCTTGTCTGGACACTAAGTTACCAGTCTTATTGTGAGCGCCTCTATACTATCAGTTAGAATTATCCAAACCATGAAAAAGCAGTTTTGAAAATGAATGTGGATTTGTATTCTGCTGACATCTGTATTATGTCCTGTGCTTTTGCTTTTATAATGGTTTGCTTTGGCTCTTACCCACATGAGCTTGGCAAAAAAGTTCAGTTAAAAGTTGTTTGAAAATCAACCCCAAGGAGTTGACCTGGTGCTAATGGGTTGGATGTTAAGTATGAACCTTGAGGCCAACGTCACCTATTAGAACAAGTAGTTTGAAAATAATGTATTCATATAATTATTGTTGATCTACTACACCAATATGTATTCACATGCAAGGTCTGTTTGGTCAATATTTAGTTGGCTCTTGCTATTTCTAGATGTTAGTAACTATATTTTTGGCGTAGACGTAAATACAGCAGAATAGTGTTCCTCAATATTCTGATTCTGCTTTCCCAAATGCCAAAACAGGAAGTAAAACTCATTTAGCATCTATAAGCAGTACTTCTGGAATATTGGGTGCTGAGGGCTTGCAGCAACTGAGTTTGGAGGAGAAGCCTGCAGAGGTTAAATCAGAGGACAAGCATGGTGTGGTGTTCCCAAACTATATGCAAGCTTTTGCTACCGACTGCTCACATTTGAGCTTCGGAACATATAAATCTGGGCTGCATCCTCGAATTTTGGGGCCTGTGATGTCTGATTCAGTGAGGAGCAACTCATTTGCAGCTACGGATACTTCACCATCTTTGTATGTTGATCCAGGGCAACAATTTTAATGGCTGGAGACTTTATGTGTCACTTGTTATATTGACCTTTAATGTATCTTGTGCAGGAATTTCGGGTCCCCTGGTGATTCGCTGAAGCCTGATCATCTTGGGTCCACGAGGAATACTTCCCAGTTGACTGATGGTGCTACGAACCTTGGCTTTCCATTACGGGTACAGCAAGAGTTGATAGATGGGAGTCTTCATGGAGCTGCTCAGCAGCATGAATATTTCTCCCAGTTATCTGTGGCTGATTCGAGTTCTGGGAAATTCCACGACAACAGTACTTCATCATCTATTATGATGCATCCAAATGCTTTGAATACTCCTCCCCTCCACCAAGAACTGGTTATCTTCTTAACTCCATGCTGCTTATCTTGTTGTCCAACACAGTTAACGCCTCTGGCAAGTGGCAAGTATAAATAGTTTTGGAACTAAGTTTTGCATGCGTCAGTGGGTAGACATGGGAGCTAAAAAATGGATGATGAAATTGAAAAAATCATGTCATTATCTCTAATTTGTATGTGATGGCTTATGCTTGTAATGCTTTCTTTTCCCCTTCCTCTTAGTTGAATTGCTTTGAAATTGCTTTTCAAAGGAGGCCTTAGTTTACTGGCATTTCCACTGTTAAGCAATATTTTCTGATGGGCTGTTTTCTCGCACCTTCTCTGTCTTTTGTTATATGTTGTTGCTCTTGATGTTCTTACGAGCTGAAGGTTGACACTTGTTTTATGTTGGTTGCTTAAGCTTGAAAGCTCATCTTGTCAAGGTCGGTCTGGGAAATATTTGATGTTGACTCTAGACATCTTCTTGCAGCACATGAATTCGAAGACCTTGCCCATTGAGTTATTGGTCTCTAATGCGGAATCTGTGAGAAACCATAATGACCTACTTTCAGCATTTGGCTCAACCCAGCAAATCCCCCCTTCATGCTATGGAAGTATTCCACCATCAACTGGTAGTTCATCCATTTTGAATCCAGAGGTACTACTTGAATGAACTTTATTGTCTTTGTAACTTCTTATTTAGTTCGTCTCTATTTCAATACCAATTATCCTACTGGCTTGTTCATTCGAGATTTATTATTTACTATATTCAGCTCCCAGGCTGTTGTCCTGGAATGACATGGGACGTCAAACACTTATCTATCTTAATTGCAACGCCTCACATATATGCACACCTTGTGTATGCAGATTCTGAACTTTTCTGCCCATGCATTACCAACATCTTATTCGCAAGGCTTTCCTGGCAGTAGTCTTCCCAGGGAGCCTGCACTGTCGCAGCATGTAACATCACAACCTTTCTCCCAACCTGCTCTGAGCTTGGAAGAATTGGCAAAGTTGACTGGATATGCAGCTCTCTCTCCGAATTATGCTCACAGTTCGTCATCCTCTTTGCAGCATGCATATGACGAGATCTCTTCATTCAATGATTTTGTGAGGATAAAGAACCTCAAACTGTTCGAGGGGGATTCTTCTCGGAGTAACTTCCCTCAGCCAGATGCTGCTGATGTTTCTGGATATGGAGGGTTTGGAAGGCAGCCCAACTATAGAGGGAACTTTCCTCATGATTTATCCTCCAATCTTTCTGCTCCTGCTGTTGGATATGGTGATACTTTGCGTTCTTCGTTTAATGGTGGAATTAATTTACCCTCACTCCAACTGGTAAAACTTTTAGGGCCTTTTTGAGTTCCTTCTATCTTCAGTATTGGGTTTTTTTTTTATTTTTTTATATATATTTCCCATGTGTTTCTTCCTATTGAGCTAATTTTTCCTACTCTTGGAACAAATTCCAGAATGACAATTCTTCTCCATGGGACTGTGGGCCAGATGCAACAACTTTATCAGCCATTCCAGACAGCCAGTATTACGGTTTACACGGATATAGTCAACTGCTTCCTAGATCTAATAAGCAAGACCAGCAGCAGTTTCCCCAGGACTATGGTGCTCTTGGATATGGCAGCTCGTATCCTTCTCAAGCAAGGACCGCCCAAGAACAATGGATTGACGCTGTTAGTTTTAATCGTTTACAAGATCCTTCATCCAAGCAGCAGCAAATTTGGGGGCAAAACTACTCATAGGTGTTGAGGCCTTATTTCATGGGCTATTGTTCTTTTTGTAGGGATTTTGAAAGCGGGAATTAGGTGTCTTAGATTTGATGTCTTCAGAATTCAGATAGTTCAGGGGTTCAGCTCCCTTTCCCACTGTACATACTGGAAGTAATATTTTCTGTTTATATTGTAGTCAGCAATATGGTACTTCATTCTAATATCATATACGGGTTCGTCTGAGATCCATAGTTGCTTTTTGTGAGTTATAACGCCGTGCTTGCACATGCAATTTCATTTTTTACTTCGTCTTTGTTTTTTCTGGTGGAAAAACATTTGCCCAAGTAATGTTCTGCAGGTTCAGAGCTGAAGGAATCAGCCGTTCATTGATTCTCTGATGTCTTTTGAAAGCTCAACCATGACGTGACCACCCATTACTGGTACGTTTGGCCTCCTTTCCTTTCTACATTTTATTGTAGATATGACAATTTTTAGTAGGTGGAACGCACTCACCAAAATGCATTACCCTGAACAGAATGTCTACATGTTATAATGTAAGATATTGATATCTGTTGGGAGAAGGCAATTGCATGAGGGAAGTGTCAGTTAGGTGTTAGGCAGTAAAAGATGAGTTAATATAGAAAACTAGAAATCTCACTTAACTTTCTCCTAATTCTCGTCATTCCTTTTGCTTTCTACCATATGTTTATTACAGCACAATCTACTACTTAAACTGTGGGTTGCTGTTGGATGCTGTTCATGCAAAAACTCACTCTCTTCTTTTATCCTTTTATGAATGGCTGCAGGAGGGGCAGATCAAAACACTCCTGGTTTAGGGTACAAAAGCACAATGGACTGCACCCATGATTCTGACCATAAGGTTAACAATCATCACAGGCTGAGCATTGAGGCGGCAAGCTTTGGGTCGCCTAAGCTGCCCAAGGCTGTAACCCCGGTTTCTGTTTCCCCTGCACCGGAAGGGGAAGCTGTTAGGCGCCCTAGGGGAAGGCCAGCTGGCTCGAAGAACAAGCCGAAGCCACCAATCATTGTCACTCGAGACAGCGCCAATGCCCTTCGTGCCCATGCAATGGAGGTCAGCTCTGGCTGCGATGTGAGTGAGAGCCTAGTCAACTATGCGAGAAGGCGGCAGCGTGGGATATGCGTCCTCAGCGGTAGCGGGTATGTGACCAATGTCACGTTGCGGCAACCAACCTCGTCTGGGGCCATAGTGACACTCCATGGCCGGTTTGAGATTCTTTCTCTGCTTGGCTCAATCCTGCCACCTCCAGCGCCATCTGGAATCACGGGCCTGACCATCTACCTGGCCGGTGCCCAGGGCCAAGTGGTTGGTGGTGGAGTGGTTGGGGCGCTGATAGCTTCCGGTCCTGTGGTGGTGATGGCAGCATCGTTCATGAATGCGACTTTTGATAGGTTGCCTTTGGATGAGGATGAGATTGCTGCAGCTGTTGTGCAGCAGAATCAGCACTACCAGAACGGCGGTCGTCACCATCACCACCACCATCACCTTGATGTTTCTGATGTGTGTGGTGGAGTGCCGCATAACTTGCTGGCTAATGGTCCAACAAACCATCCTGAGATTTATTCCTGGGCTGCTGGTCGAGCCATCTCCAAGTCCTAGGCAGCCTGCTTTCAGCTGCTTCCCTCGTCCTAGCAGCTCGGCTGGTTACTCGGGATCCCGATTATTTCATTTTCTGAAGCCTAATAGTTTTTTTTTCTTTCTAAAATGTTGTTTGCTATGCACCAATGCGTAAACTAAGTAACTAAGTTATGAAAGACAAAAAATAACCGAAAAAAGAACAAAGACCGATTGTACTACTTATGAGTTGCACTTTACAGTGCTCTCTCTAAAGTAGAATGCTGCAGTTTCTCGTCGACTAAAAAAATTTATGAATTTGCCACCAGCTCTGAAGTTCTTGCGGAGGATTATCTTTCTTCTTTGACTCCCATACCCATTAGTGGCTTCCAAATCTGGGAAGTACGGGTGCAACCATTCCTACCAGATTGAATTGACATTGACTGAATTATGGGATCAGGTCATTGACTGAATTATGGTATCAGGTCAGTAATCTTATGGTCATTAATCATGAGAAATTCGTCCACATCAGCATGATATTAATCCCTATGTTTGGCCCGGCTTTTAGAAGTGCTTTTCGGTTTCAAAAGCTGAAGCAGGGGCCAAACACCTCTAAAAGCTCGACTTTTGAAAAGTCGAAAAGCGCTGCGAAAAGCTGGTTTGAAAATACAATATTATCCTTACCATATTTTAATTTTATTTCAGAAAATATAATTTTTCTTCATTTATATCATTTTAAAAATAAAATAAATTATAAAATCATATTATTTAATATAAAAAAAATCTAACAAGATCCATTTTGACTACTTTTTATTGTTTAAAATTTTTATTCATATTTTGTATTATAAGTCCTTTATAGTCATTTTCACAACCTCGCATATTAAAAAGCATTTCTAATAGTTTTACAGCCAAACAATCAACTGCTTTTTTTGAAAAGTACTTATCTAAAAGCTACCGCCAGGAGCTGCTTCTGCAAAAGCTACAGCAGGGCCAAACTAAGCTAATATCCCTATCTCTTCTGGAAAGTCTTTTATCTTTTCCTCTTTAATCTTTAACGGACGATTTCTTTCTCGTTTTAAGTCGATTTTTTTTGCACAGATAAATCAGATTAAATGTGCTCTTTAAAATGATATCCACTTTGATATATTTTTAGTACAAAAAATTGAATAATGTTTTACCAGTCATTATCATATGGTATGCTCCTATTTAATACCATATGGTAAGAAAGCGTAGCATGATCATACGAACATACCAATATGGTAAGTAGGTTGAATACACAATAGTAGGAGTATACTAACTGTCATTTATGACTTTCATCATTGTTTACTACAAGTTACCACAAGTAACCACCCACATACCATTAGGGATGGCAATGGGTTGTGTTGGGTTGGGTTTTGCCAAACCCAAATCCAAACCCATTGGTTTATCCGTGAAAAAAAACCCGGGGTAAAACCCACTGGGTTTGAAAAACTCAAACCCAACCCGCTGGGTATCTGCGGGTTCATGGGTACCCATGTGTTTTTGTCATAAAAAATTTAATTTACAATAACAAGTTCCTATCAAAATTAAAGTCAAATATCAATCTCTCAATACAAATTATCCATATATAAAACACCATTCTAGAAAATTCAAGCAAATCACAAATTAACTATACAAATTGTTCAACACCAATCTAGAAAACTCAAGATAATTGAAGCAAATCACAAATTATCCATAAATAACATGATTAATTGAAAGCTTCTTCCTTACAATTAAGTTTCTTCACTCTCTACTCGAAAACATCAACTTCATTCTACACAATTAGAAAGAAGAAAATTAGTCATGTCTCTACAAAAATAAATAAGATTAGTTGTTTAGAATATTAAATATATCGAAAAAAATTAATTATATGGGTGTGGACGGGTACCCATGGGTCTGGTTTACCTAAACCCAAACCCCATCCAACCGGTGATTAGTGAATGAGTTTAAACCCAAACCCGGCCCAAAACCCGTCAACACGGATTTTACCCGCGTTGACCGGGTTGGGTCGGGTGGGTACACGTGGGTTCGGGTTTTTTTGCCATCCCTACATACCATAGCGGTAAAGTATGCTAATTTTTTGTTCAGTACTTTTTTCACCCAGAAATTTGTAGATCCAATAGATCATGATGAACTCGTTCCTTCTGAGCAAACGTTTTCAAAAACGACTTAAAAACGAAGAAGTTACCATATGGCATGTAGTTGGTAAAAAAAAAAAATTTTTCGAAATATATTGAAAATTGATCTCATTTTGTAGACCACAGCAAACTCGTTCCATCTGTGCACAAAAAATTAAAAAACGAGTTAGAACGAAGAAGATAAGAGCCGATTATGAAAACTAGAGAAAATAAAATGTTTTTAATTGACAACCCTTAAATTTAGATTTTCTGGACTCACTTAGATCTAAAGGTTCAGATTTAGTTACTCATACGTAAGTAAAATCATTGACTCTATCCTAAGCCCTGAATTATATAGTTTGCGTCGGTTTCAGTCCTTGAATTATTGAATTATCTTAGATGTAAAGAAAATAGAGTAACGAGCTGGGGAAAATATGCTTTTCAGTCATAGTTATTGTTTTTCTCTTATCTTTTATTTGGTGTTATACGAACTTGATTCTCAACAAAACCGATCTCTAAGGTGGGAAGCAGGGTTAGAATTAAGGGTTTACATGGGTCGGGTGGTCCGGGTTTAGCCATTTTAATCACCCAACCCATGCACTACGGTTTGGAAAATATTAAACCCAAACCCAACCAAAAAAATTCAAAACCCTACGGTTTGTTTTCAATTGGGTTGGGTCGGGTTGGCGATATTTTTAAGTAAAAACCCAACCCAACACAAAATATGTAATTATTCTACACCATAAAAATATTTTTATAACTAATTAAAATTTCAAACGAATAAACCAGGGTGAAAGGTATCGAAATTCACAAATGTTGTTTGAATTTTAATAAAATATAATTTACTTCAACATATGTCTATAGTTTTTTTCACAATATTTGTTTAAATAGGCTAAATAGGTTATAAACAAACACATCCATAATATGTTATTCTATTAAAATTGTACACAAGAAAAAGGATTACGTGAATCATAGCTATATTAAATCTATGTCTAAAATTTAAGCCGATGAATTCATTAGATTAGGGAAACCATGAGAGAAAAACATGGAAAAATATCTTAATTTTCTTACAAGTATGGCTATATACGACATAAATATTTTTTGTACACGAACTCATACTAATAGTTGGAACACGGGTTGGGTCGGGTTCGACGGGTTGTGTAATCCAAAATCCAAACCCAACCCAAAAGAGGCGGGTTGTACCAAAGGAAACCCTCACCCAACCCAAAACCTTAGTTTTAGCGATAAATACGGGTGGATTGGGTCGGGTTGGACGGGTGGGTCGGTTTGCGGGTGTATTTGTTCACCCCTAGTTAGAATCAAGTGACTGTTAGAGTAGTCAAAGAGTAAAGGAAATACCACATTGGTGGGAGAAAGAAAGTGCAAGTTGTTTTTAAGTTTGCTTTCCATTTTAGTTATTGGATAAAGTGGTTAGTGGGCTTTTGGAAAAAGTGTGGGCTATTTAATTGGACATATTAAATCGCACTACGCACTTAGCACTTTTGCGCGATGCGTTCGGATTTGAATTTTTGGCTAATTAATTACCGGAATTATTTTAATTAATTAATCCGGATAATTATTTGATTTTGAGTTTTGTGAAACGACGCAACCCTTCGGAAGGGAACTGCCATTTTCACTATAAAAGTCTTCTGCAGCCGAATTTCTGTTCCAACGTTCTTCTTCTTCTCCTCGTTTTCCTTCTTCAAAAACACAAACACAGAAGTCAAGAAAGGTGCTGCTTTCTGACTTTGATTGGAGGGACTCCTGGGGGTGGTTTGCCTAAATCCTACCAGCAACAAAGTAGTGGGGGCAAATAAACACTCTAAGGAGAGTGATCTAATCACGCCTTCAATCGTTCTCTTCCATACGGTTACCCTGACAGTGACTAGGGGAGATCTTAATCATTTGAATAGCTTCATCCCAACCATATATAGGCTTTTTATTCTAATAGTGAGAAACTGCTTATATTGTATTTTCACTGTATATTAAAAAATTTGATTAAAAATAGAGGTAAATGGAAGGAGTGTAAAAGAAGGAATTTGGTTGTCATTATGGTTTGAACCCTATGTCTATCTCTATAGAAGCTTAGCTACGGTCATGTCGTATGCAAGCCGTCACAATGTAATCGTCTCTAATAAAACGTCAGTCGTGAGCTCTTTCGAGCTCACCGTGGATTAGTCTTGATCAATCAATCGATCGAGGGTACTACGTAAAATCGTTTGTCTCGTGTGTTATTTCATCTTCCGCCTTATCAAATTCTTCATGGTATCAGAGCGAAACTCGATCCCTTGTTTAGGGTTTTGAGCTTCCGCCGGTCTGCATCTGTTGCCTCTCCGTGACAAAGGTGCGAGGCAGTGTTGGAGGAAATATAGTTTTGGTCAAGAAATCAAGTCAAGGTGCGAGGTAGTCACGATCAAAGAAGCGATCGTCCCCTCTGCGTTCAAAAACAGTCAACTTTTTGTCTTCATCATTTTAAATTTCAAGCTGGGCATTCACGTCGTTCATGCTCCAACTTGAGGGGGAGAATAGGGAATCATCACACGTAGGTCTACTAGTTCAGTCATCAAGTCGACCACGTCAATCGATCAGTCAGGTTGCTCGGAGAAGCACAGTCAGCAGTGCAGTTAGAAGTCTTCAAAGTCAGCAACGCAGTCATCAGTCTCCAGTCTCATCCAAGACGTCAAGGTAATTCCGCCATGTGGAGTTCACTATTGTTGAACTAGGTCAAGCATGGAGTCGGATAAGTCTCATCCAAGACGTCAAGGAATTTCACCATGCTGAGTTCACTGTCAAAAGAACTGGGTCAAGCATGGAGTAGTTTCATCATTTGTCTACGTCTCCCGCAAGCGAACAAAGTCACAGCCTGTTGGATCGTCATTACCAGCAAAAGGTTGTTTGAGTGTTGTTCAGTTTCAATCTCGACATTCATGTCTTTGCTTGAGGGGGAATGTTGAGGATATTAATTATTTAGTCAAAAGTAATTAATTCCTTGTTCTCAAAGTCCTTTGTTTCCTTGCCTGATAAAAGAAGGAACTTGGTTGTCATTAGGGTTTGAACCCTAAGTCTATCTCTATAGAAGTTTAGCTAAGGTCATGTCGTATGCAAGTCGTCACAATGTAGTCGTCTCTAATAAAACGTCAGCCGTGAGCTTTTTCGAGCTCACCTAGATTAGTCTCCATCAATCAATCGATCGAGTATACCATGTAAAATCGTTTGTCTCGTGTGTTATTTCATCTTCCGCCTCATCAAATTCTTCAGATGGATTTTTGTTCGGCCGACAATGCTTTTCCATTCTTTCTTTTCGTGGGTTCGAGTTCACGAGAGAAGTGGACTCATCGCCAATGAGTTTAGAGAGAGAGAGAGAGAGAGAGGGTGAAATAGTGGTTTGTAATGCAAGACCTATCGATTTGTGATGTTAGCAATCTGGCTATGATGGCATCTAGCATGAGTATATACTTAACGAATCTAGATCTCACCACATCATCAAAAACTAAAATCAAAGGCACATATTGTTTGGCTAAAGGAATGGTTTGTGAAGAGATAAAAAGTTGACTTGAGCCACTTAGCCAAACAAGCCATTTTTCCTTTTGATTTTTGTGCATCCCAAACAACTCCTAACTCCATCCTTTTCCACTCCCCCCCCCCCCACTGATTTGAGGAACAAAATTTGAGTCCTGAAATATAAGAATTCAATTTTCATCTTCTATATTTCTTCCTCGTGTTTTGATCACAAATTTGTTTCGATAGTGAAAACATATGAGACGAGTAGGAAAAAGATTGAAAGGTTCAATGTGGAAGGGATATGGGGTTCAACAAGGAAGAAGGAGAGGAGGAAGCAAGGTTGTCAATCCTGTTTAGCCCATTCGCCCAGTTGGGCAAGTGGGTTGAGGGTTAATGGGCCGATCGAATTTTGCCCGGTTTAGCTTGGATATATGAAAAACCATTATGTTGTTCATACATTTATAAATTATATCACATCTCATATAACAAGGGTAATAACATATAATAGTTTGTCTTTGGATCAAACATATAGTAAAAATTCAAACACACTCATATAACATCAATATTCAAATGTTCAATTTAGAAATCCAAAGTTAGGGTTCAGTGAAGGGGAAAACAAAAAAGAGGCACAATTCGCAAACCAAATAGGAAAATGACACCGTGTGACCTCCAAACTGGAAATCTTGTTGCAGGTCGACCAGCAAGTGTGTGTGGTTCAATTTCCTCACCGGGTTAGGGTTAATCCGGGTTCACCCGGGGGTCGACCCACTGGTAAAAAAGTAATTAAAGCCATTATAAGGGGTTGTACTCAAAGTCCCACAAATGTCTACATGAAGTAAACCAAACAAAGAAGGATGAAAAGAGGCATTGATTGTAAATGGATCTTTTCTGTTTGGAAAAATGACAAACAACACAATGGATAATCTTAGAAACTAATACATCAGGATTTTGTTTATGTATAATTTCTATTCTATAAATGTAAGGATGGCCCAATCTGGCATGCCAGAGATCAAAACTTTGAGGCTGAAAATTGAGTTGAGAAGTAGCAAGAAACTTTGGAGTGGTGGAATGACAACCTTCAGTGGAGAATTTGGTGTTATTGAACAAGTAAATCCTTTGTCCACTTAGGCTAAACCAATCCTCCTCTGTGTAATAAGGTCCAAGATGAATGTAACGACCCGATACTTTTTAATCAAACCGAAATACTCATGGCTCCGGAGCTGACCGAAATAGTGTCCAAAAACCGCAATGAAATAAATAAATCCAACTCCTTTCCACAAGAAATTCAAATGAAATGCCCCAAAAAGTTGGGCGACCTCAATCCATGGTCAGCAATACCACTCAAACTCAAAACTTCGAATCTCCAGTTTATATACTCATAATCATGAACAAAAATAATGAAAATAACTATAGCTCTAACTCCTTGCTGAGGTCCCATCGATCTTGTTCACTCTCGAGCGGCTTCCCGCCTCACTTTGCCTCTTCTCGAAGTCCACCTCTATTAACCCTTCCTCAAACTGGTGAATGAGAAGGGGTCAGTCTCGTCGTTACTTCCTAAGGTAATTGCCCTAGGCAAACTCCCTACTAAACACGTTATTAGAGTTTCATTTCTATCACTAAAGTCGTTCTCGCTTCTACTCTTAAATAATCATTCTCTATACTAGCTTATAGAAGTTCTCTACTTCTATCCTTAACTCATAGACATCAGTACCAGGAACCACCACATTACGTCTCGTTGTCTGGTGTCCCTACCCTAGTATGCCAACCATGTTACGTCTCGCTGTCCGGTTGCATGCCCAAACTCAGCAATGGCACTGCGTTACGTCTCGCCATCCAGTCCATGCCCGGTCAGCTACTGCGTTACGTCTCGCCATCCAGCAGAGATTCGACCATCTACCGCGTCCAGTAGTGGCCCAACGCTCGGGGGTTCATCTTACCATTAACCAACTATTACAATCATAAATCCATACATAGCACAACGCGTGCCTCCACCTTAAGTAGGCGGTGAGATGCCTCACACACATATCGCGCATTACTAAAAAATTAACTAAATAATAAATTCAACAAAAAACATAAACTAAAAGACCTCGACGGAGATTTTACCCCCTTTACACTCACCTCAAAATGATGACAACTCGATTCCTTCCTCGAAGAAATCCCTCTTTAGTCGGATTATCTTGGAAAACCTCTAGAACGTGACTAGAACTCGCGCCCTCTTCTTTCTTCTTCCTTTTTTTTTCCTTTTCTCTATTGACCGTTGGGATCAAGGAAACGCCGAGGGTGAGGGGAACTTCCCTGTTGCGTGCGATTCCAAGAAGGGGTTCGCTTCCTTCTGGTGCCGCTACGTGCGGTTGGGGAAAAGGGAAGGGTTTATTATTGTTTGCTGGAGAATTTCTTATGGTGGGGAGGGCACCTGAGATAGCGAGGGTTTGTGGAGAGGGCTCGACCCTCTCCCCTATATATGGGTCAGAATATATATATAATAATAATAGTTATTATTATTATTATTATTCTTAATCTGCGGTAGTAGCTCTTTGTACGTAATCGTCAATCCAACCATTCACGTATTAAGGTTGAACCTAAACTCAAAGGTCGGGGTGTTACATTTATTCCTCCCTTATAAAAATTTCCTCCCCGAAATTTGCTCGGAACTCATCCTTCTATCAACACCCTTCTTATACTTCCTTCCCACGATCATTTATTCTTTACCATAACAACTTCGTTGGTACCCTTTGCTCATATATGTTTCCTTAGCTTGTAGCACTCGTGTAACCATGAGTCCCTCACTGCCCTTTTTACTCCCCAACTTGACCCAAACGTGGTTAAACAAAATGCCAATTTGGCTTGTCATGTTGATACAATTCACCTGGTAGTTGATGTTGCACCTAAATCCAAAATCTAGATATGACATTTCCTCCCCACTTATAGAAATTTCTCCCTCGAAATTTGTCCATTGTGGCTATTTCCAACCCGACTTGTGGTAATCCTTCTTACTACGGGGAATTGAACCACCTCGAAGGTTCTACTTGCTTTCTTTGACATTTATTAGAACTTTCCTCGAACGTTCTACCTTTGCGTTTATCCCTGGCTGGCTTAATTACCTTCTCATACCTCAGCTTAGACGGTGTCACCTCCAGTCTTGCTTGCTGACATCTGGCTACCTTTTCAATGATACCCCTTATCTTGAGTTTTGACTGCCTTGAAACGTATCACTATCTCGTGACTTGTCTAAACTGGGGTGATGGTGACCGCAAGATTCTTCATCCTCTGACCCCATGCCTGCCTCGCCACCGCAAAACACCTCACCACTCGGCAAGGATCCCTCGAATACCTTATTCTCTATCTTGTAACTACTGGTTACATAATGTGCGTGCTCTTACATCCTTCTTTACATCGTTTATCTCGATGGTTGATTCGTTCCTTTCAAGATCTTCCCGCCGATATAGTTTCCCAAGTCCACGATTCCTCTTCTTATGGATGTACTATATATATAGGGATCCCTCATTTGTTATATGTACATGCATGTGCCACTTCCTAGCCTTTGAAATCCTTTAAGGATACCTATGACCTTCTTAATTCCTTGTTTGCTTTGCTTAAATGCCCCTAGCATTTCTTAAAGTCTAACCTCCACTACTTCTTGGGTCATAGCCCTACGCTCGATTCTCGTGAATGCAACGAACCTTCCTTGCTTCCTTTCCTCTAGGTGATGGCCGCCATTTGGTGTAACTCCCTTGCCTACTGCCTATAGACGTCCTAGATACTTGGCGTCTTCCTGAACCTTATACCGAGAAGCTAGCATTCGCATAGGGTATGAGCTGCCTTGTACGACCCTTCTCGCTCACAAGAAGAGCTTACTAGGCAGTCCCCATAGGACTCCTCTCCTTTCGGAGACGTATCACAACCCCGTGGGGCATCCCAAAGTTATTTCCTTACCATGATTAGAGTATATTGAAGATTCTAAAAATCCTCGAAAGACTTTGACTTGTTTGGCCAAACTTTTAAATGACACTCCCTTTTTCCTTTCCTTTAAAAACTAAACCCTTGAAAAACGCAGATCGTCACTCCAGTATTCCTTGGAGACCAAGAAAGAAATGAGTGTCAGCTCTGATACCAAAATGTAACGACCCGATACTTTTTAATCAAACCGAAATACTCATGGCTCCGGAGCTGACCGAAATAGTGTCCAAAAACCGCAATGAAATAAATAAATCCAACTCCTTTCCACAAGAAATTCAAATGAAATGCCCCAAAAAGTTGGGCGACCTCAATCCATGGTCAACAATACCACTCAAACTCAAAACTTAGAATCTCCAGTTTATATACTCATAATCATGAACAAAAATAATGAAAATAACTATAGCTCTAACTCCTTGCTGAGGTCCCATCGATTTCGTCCACTCTAGAGCGGCTTCCAGCCTCACTTTGCCTCTTCTCGAAGTCCACCTCTGTTAACCCTTCCTCAACCTGGTGAGTGAGAAGGGGTCAGTCTCGTCGTTACTTCCTAAGGTCTTTGCCCTAGGCAAACTCCCTACTAAACACGTTATTAGAGTTTCCTTTCTAGCACGAAAGTCGTTCTTGCTTTCTGCTCTTACACAATCATTTTATCTACTAGCTTATTGAAGTTTTCTACTTCTATCCTTAACTCATAGACTTCAATAACAGGGACCACCGCTTTACGTCTCGCTGTCCAGTGTCCCTACCCTAGTATGCCAACCGTGTTACGTCTCGTCGTCCAGTTGCATACCCATACTCGGCAATGGCAATGTGTTATGTCTCGCTTTCCAGTCCTTGGCCGGTCAACTACTGCATTACGTCTCGCCTTCCATTAGTGACCCCAACCAATGCAGTTAAAAGCGCGATTCTACTTAGAAGCGGAAAATGGGTAAAATCGTAAAACGTAGAATCAAAGCGTAAAAGCGTAAGTTTTTGACGCGCCCTCTAAAATAGCTAAAATATGTTAAGTACAACATATAGTATGTAAAACGTGAATGTGTAGATTTTAGATAAGTGAATAACTACATGAAATTCATAATTAAAATGTAATATCTAACACATAAACTAATTTGTGTTGACTCAAAAGTAGAGAAAACTCATAACAACTTAATAATAAACTCATAAACGTAGATTGTAACACGTAACGAGCTTGAGAATCTAAATTCTCATAAGCAGGTTTGAGTTTACATAATTACATACGATCAATTAATTATAAAATTTTATCGTAACCCAGGTAAGAGCCACATGTGAAGATTAAGGGAGAAGACTGATAGAAGGTCAGCGGCTGTTGAGATTACCATTAGGTGTCTTTTCAACCTAATGTGAAGCCCCTATCTCGACACTAGTTGTAGAACGACTGATGAATCATGTTTTCCTTTTTATATTCTTTGCTGATATGTCTCCAAAATTATATCATTTTGGGCCAATTAGCACATTTATATGAGATGATAAAAATCATATAAAAACGCTTCAGAATCGCGATTTTATCGATTTTAAGCGATTTTACCGATTTTACCCATGTTTTTACAAGTTTTTGTGACAAAGCGACTTTAGGTAGAAACTGAAACGTTTTGGTGGCCTGGATACGTAAAAACGTAAGTTTTTACGTTTTAATGCGCGATTTTGACTACACTGACCCCAACATACTCGATAAACTGTTGCGTTACGTCTCGCCGTCCAGCAGAGATCCGACCATCTACCGCATCCGGTAGTGGCCCAACATTCGGGGGTTCATCTTACCATTAACCAACTATTACAATCATACATCCATACATAGCACACCTCGAAACGATAACTCCTCGATTCCTTCCTCGAAGAAATCCCTCCTTAGCTGGATTATCTTGGAAAACCCTCTAAAACGTTAAGACTAGGTTGGATGGTTCTAAACGTTGATTTCCTTGTTGATCGATGTTTGAAACCTCAACCCTCACCGCAACCGCACTAACTCCAAGACTTATGCGAGGACAGGCAAAGGCGGCTATTTTTGTGGGGAACTCGCGTCCTCTTCTTTCTTCTTCCTTTCTTTTTCTTTTCCTTTTCTCTATTGGCCGTTCGGATCAAGGAAACGCCAAGGGTGAGGTGAACTTCCCTGCTGCATGTGATTCCAAGAAGGGGTTGGCTTCCTTCTGGTGCCGCTGCGTGCGGTTGGGGAAAAGGGAAGAGTTTATTATTGTTTGATGGGGAATTTCTTAGGGTGGGGAGGGCACCAGAGATAGCGAGAGTTTGTGGAGAGGCCTTGGCACTCTCCCCTATATATATATATATATATATATATATATATATATATATATATATATCTTATTATTAATATTAATAATATTATTATTATTCCTAATCTGCGGTAGTAGCTCTTTGTACGTAATCATCAATCCAACTGTTCACATATTAAGGTTGAACCTAAACTCAAGTCGTCAATCCCCCCTCCCCCCTATAAAAATTTCGTCACCGAAATTTGCTCGAAACTCATCCTTCTATCAACACCCTTCTTATACTTCCTTCTATCAACACCCTTCTTGTAGCACTTGTGTAACCATGAGTGCCTCACTGCCCTTTTTACTCCCTAACTTGACCCAAACATGGTGAAACAAAATGCCAATTTGGCTTGTCATGTTGATCCAATTCACTTGGTAGGTGATGTTGCACCTAAACCCAAAAATCGAGATATCACAATGACAAAGAAAGAAGAATTAAAAAGTAGAGAGATGGGGTTGTTTTTTATAAGCTTGTTGACTGAAACAAGGTTGTAATTAAAGCTATGTACAAACAGGACTTGAGAAAGGAAGAGTCCACAAGGAAGTCCAACTATCCCTATGTGTCTGGCCTGAACTTTATTACCATTTGGTAAGTTAACAAAAACACCTTGTAGTGTTCTAAATTTCAAGAGGTATTTCAAATCAAAGATTATGTGATCTGTGGCACCTATGTCTAGAACCCATAATGGTTCCACTATCCTAGATAAAAGAGTAGAGAGGATTATTGTACCTGAACTAAATTGACAGGCTGATGCTGAGTGGCATTGCTGCATTTGCAGCATGTCTAATTGAAGGAGTGGTTGGTGGTGAGGGAGATGATGATGGGGAACCAAGTAATAACATCCTTAGCCTTTCCATCTAATCATTACTGAGTTGTAGACTAGCCAGTCTTGAAGAATTGTTCCTGTTTGGTGTATCATGATTCACAAATGCAACTCCCAGGATACTAGAGTTAGCTTTTGTGCCTGTTTCAATAGAGCCTGTAAAGCCTAAACCACTAGATCCCCTTCTTTTCTTGTTCTTCAGCCTATAACATTCACTTATTATTTGATTGTCCTTCTTACTATACTGATGACTTGATATATACACATGTTTCAGTCCACCATTCTTACACCGTTTGAGTCTTATTTCTCGTGTTTTAGGCCGATTTCACACTAGGTTGTTCTTGTTTGTGATATTTCAAAGTCCTAGTACGTGAATGAAGGTTTGGGAACGAGTTCGGGATCGATTGGACGAAGATTGGACGTTTGGCGAGAAGCTGAGGAAGCCACACGGGCACGTCTAAAAACCCACACGACCGTGTGACCTGGCCGTGTGGCACCAAATTGCACGGGCAAGCCACACTGGCCGGGTAAGGGACCCCTTGTGGCCGTGTGGAAAGTCCAGGGAGCTCACATGGGCAGCCTAGAAATCCACACGGCTGTGTGGTTTTGGCCGTGTAGGGGACCTGAAGCCACTTAAGTGAAACACGGCGTTTTGCACACTCACACATGCAGTTGGGAAAGCCACACGGCCATGTAGCCGGGCCGTGTGGTCGGGAATTTCTGGGTTTTAACCCAATTTCAAGCCAAATGAGAGGGAATCGACTTTTTGGAGCAAAAACAGAGCCCTAGAGAGAAAAAGTGCAAAGAACACATCCTAGAAGTGATTTTGGAGCTGGGTTTCATCAATCGAGCTTGGAGATCATCATAGGAGTGAAGATCATCATCCCAGAGCAGATTCTTCCCATTGTTATGAGTATGACTGCTTTGTATTCTGTTTCCCTCTCTCTCTCTCTATGGAGTAGAACTCTCTCTCACTTGGCTATGAAGAACCCTAGTTCCATGTGTTAGGAATCTTGATTGTAATTACGTTTGGATTGTGATATTGCTTGATTATAATCGATTGAAGTGTTATGATTGAGTCAATTGAAGTCTGATCATCTTTTATTGATTTCTGCTGCAACCTGAGATAGATAGAATTTGATTAGGTTGTTATAGCTTCTTCAATAGGTAGTAGTGAATCGATTATACGAGAGTTAGTCGATTCACTGCTTTGTACTGGAATCTAATTCCAGTATTGGAGTTCTGTGTTCATTGCCTCAGTGTTCTGTCCCGGTGAAGACTAGTCGTTTGCTGGGTAGTTTCACTGAGAGGGCTTGGTCAGCTTATGAGATTCCAAGCTACTGTCGGATCTTCCGCAGTATAATCAGCAGTACAACAACCAAAAGTAATTACAACTGTGACCTAACTAAGGAGCTAGGGGGACTCATTCCCGAGTGACTCTTCCCTTGCTTTAGAAAACCGAACCATTTCCTGCTTTCTTACTGCTTTTACTTAAATCAACAATCACTCGACTTAGTTTGCTAGATAATAGATATTCAAGGAGTAGGCAGTAGATCTAGACCCCCGGTTGACAATTCGAGCTTGCCTGTTACTGCATTTCCGGACTGCGATTACACTTGGTCGCAGTTTGGTGTTGTGTTTTAGCATGTCAGTAATCTCAATAACGCAATATACCACGGTATTCCCAAATACGAACACGAACATGAGAACCACGATAGATAAAATACGAGATATGATTAACGAAATGAGAGAGGTAACAAGAGTTTGGTATGAAAATGGACAGAGTTTCGGCTAACTTCAAATACAAGAAAGGAAGAACAGAGTATAGAAGTAGGGTGTGTAGTGTCTAGCCCCTCTATTTATAGTATGAACTTGACATAATCATTCTTCAGCTACATGCTTCAGCTACATGTCTGAGAGAAAGGCCAGCAGCTTGCTTGTGCAACTAATTCATGCACCCAACCTTTACTTGGCCAGCAGCTTGCTTGTGCAACTAATTCATGTCTGCCGAGAGACACCAACCGACAGCAGTTGCTTGCTTCCCATTTCATCCTTGAGCTGCTTGCTTCACCGACTAGCTTGTTCAGATACGTGCCCCCTTGCTTTACCAGGTAGCTTCCATTTCTTCCCCCGTCAATATCAATTCAATTTGAGCAACTTGACGAAATCAAGCTAGTCCACTATAGCAAAACTCAACGGACGTATGGTAGGCTAAGGTACACCTGGGCGTATGCTAGCATTTGCCATATATATAGCATATGCTTGACGTCAAAGGCTAGCGCACACCTAGCGTACATCGTTCACACTTGGTTTTCGCACTTCAATATATTTTGTTGAATCAAAACCGTCGGTTATTATTTTTTGAATTAAATGAATCTTGTGGCTTGGGTTAGAGAATTAGAGAGTGGGGTTCACCCATTAGAGGTTAGGGTATAGTATCACGCCTGTACGTGGACATCGGGTTGGGTTGCCCACTGGCTCACAGTTAGAGCACGACACGAGCACGGTCCCAAAATATATGGGCCGGCCCGGCACGAACACAGGCACGACACGGTAGGTTGGGTTTTCGAGACCCTATTACGTAGAAGAAAGAACATAACATGAAAAGAATATTTGATAGAAAATAAATATAAAAAGGATTATTGGTTCAAATCTTAAAAAATACAAGTACAATAAAAATTATTTACTGTTGTTAGAAGTGATCATAAAGATATATACATAATTATTATCATAAGTAAAATAGACAAATTATTAAACAAAGTCAAATCACACCCGCTATAATTCCAATTTTCTTTTCCCCCCTTATTAGTTATATTTATTAAACATTCTCGGTTAATACTTTCATTCCCCGCCCAATTTGTTGCTCTTTTTCATTCCCACTTTTACTTTTTTCTTTTTCATTAAACATGAATATAAGCGCGCCACGAGCACGAATAAGCATGACAAGATTCAAATCATGCCCAGGCCCTGACCAGGTCTAGCAAAAATAAAAAGGGCTAACACGATACAAAAGCTGACGGGTCGTGCCAAGCACGACAGAAAATAAATGTGCCCGAAGCGTGCCCGTGCCATGCCGTGCCGGCCTAAGCACGGCCCAACGCCCATGTACAATCATGCCCCAAAATTCGATTAATTCGTGCTCTAAATAGTAAAACTCGGATGTTATGTGGTATCCAGGTATGGCACTCGGACCAAGTCGCCTTAACAAAAGGAAGGGGATGCTAGAAACCAACTAGTTCCAGCAAGAGTAACTAGAAGAACACAGCAACAGACAACACAGTCTCAAACCACTGTGCCAACTAGGAGAAATGATGAGCCACTCCCAAACTGTATGACGAACGGCACAACTGTTGAGAATGAAACTACAGAGGAGGATTCTGGACCTAAAGAAACCACGACTGAAAGTATGCAGAGTGTTACCATTACTTAGTGTCTGCATCTAATTACTATGGTGTGTTGTTATGATGTGATTTGTATGTGTATACTGCTTCTCTAAGGTCCACCACTGACACGCTAAAACACAACACCTAACAATGGCCAAGTGTAACCAATGAAAGGGACTGCAGTATAGTGGCACAAGTAATAAATATAGAATCCACGGGTCTCTAGAGTTACTATTACTCAGCTTCAGTTCATTATCTAGCAAACTAGATTAAGGATTGATTTATAAACTACTCTACTGACTACTCTACTAATTACAAGTTGGGAACTCACTTAGGTATGATTCCCCCTAGCTCCTCAATTAGGTCCAAGTTGCAATTACTTTTAGTTGGTCTACTGTTGATTAAACTGCGGAAGATCCTAAATTAGATTGGAATCTCTTAAGCTGACCATGCCCTCTTAGACAGAATACCCGGCAGGCGACTAGCCTTCACCGGGGTAGACTGCTTAGGTGATTCACACAGATCTCCACTACTGGAATGAATTCCAGTACAAAGCAGTGAATTGATTGACTCTTGCACAACCAATTCACCACTATCAATCAAGGAAGCTCTCTTAACCTAATTGGATTCTATCTATCATAGGTTAAAGCAGAAATCAAGAGAAGATGATCAGGCTTCAGTTGACTCTATAAATCATGCCTCAATCAATTATAATCAAACAATATAGCATCCAAAACTTCATACAAGAAAGATCCTAACACATGGAACTAGGGTTCCTCAAAACCTAAGTGAAGGGTAGTTACTTTATAGAGAAGAGAGAGACTGCAGAAATCTGATCTAGATCTTCAATCTCCATATCCAAGCTTGATTCCCGAGCTCCAATGGTGAATAAATCCTCCAAAATAGCTCCAAGAATGTTCCCAAGTCGCTCTCTCTCTCTCTAGGGTTCGTCCCTTGGGTGTTTGGGAACCAAAACCCCGTTCTCCCCTTTCCTTTTGCTGAAAATCGGGTTTTAACCAGAAATTCTCGATCACACGGCCAGGCCACACGGCCGTGTGACTTTCCAGATGCCCGTGTGAGGGCTTGGTGATTTCCACACGGTCACATGGCCAGGTCACACTGCCGTATGGGTTTTTAGGCGTGCCCGTGTGGCTTGCTCAGCCTCTGTTAATGCTTCGTTTCTCCCTTGTCAGGACTCCGAATCAGTCGCCGTTTGATCCCAGACGCTCATAGTCTTGTCCTCTTTCTTTTCATGACAAAATTACATGATTATTTTTCCATAATATGAGGTAGAAGTCCATTATTCCTCAGGTCATGCTCGTGCTTCTTCTCCCGAATCGCCGAATGATCTCCGATTGACTTCAAACTTGCGCCTATGCTTCAATTTACATGCTAGGACCTGAAATGTGACAAAGGAACACAACCTAGCATAAAATAGGCAAAGAAGCGATAATGCAAGATTAAACGATCAAGAAACAAAGGGGAAAACATGTGCAAATATCGAGTCATCAAATCCCCCCACACTTAACCGTTTGCTTGTCCCCAAGCAAACCTAACTCAAACCAATGCAGCTCTCCAGACCTCTATAGCAATAAACAACCCCGATCGTCGGTAGAGGATTTTCTGGATCATATAGCAGCTTACAAGGTCAACTGGTCTTCTAAGACGTTCCCTATCTCTCTCAATGCGAGTACTAGACTCAAGCCAGGATCATGAGAAGAAGTGGAAGTAAAACAGGCAGTTCATGGATAAAGGGACTCACACCATTCACAACCAAGGAATCGTGGTACCGGGGTGCTCTTTCACTTCATTTCACCGTTGGAACCCCTTTTTGCACTTTCATTTACATTTCTTTTTCTCTTTTTTTTTCTTCATGCACTTGGCGGGGGTTCCAATTGCAGTCTTTTGCACGGTCGACCCTTATTAGTCGAGCAAGAGCAATTTTTGTACACCTGGCGCTTGCCAGGGTACTTATTTTAACTCCTTTTCCTCAACTCGTGTGGAGGGTCAATGAAATTAAGGGGGTCGGAAGCTCTATCCGTGCCCTTAAAAACACATCCTCGAGTAGGCAAACCGTTCAACGGGTGGAATTTTTACTTGTACTGGAGACAGCTTAGCTTCACCTTGTAGGAGTACCCCACTAAGGATCACTAAAATCTCCTCCAAAACCCGATTTTGTGCAATGAACGGTGCCACACACATTGGGATTACCCCATGTTTAAGATTTTTGATGATTTCGACATGGAGGACCAACTGCTTTTCATTTGCCACACGAGCACCCTGTTCAATACACGAGTCCATAACACAATTCAAACAGAGTCCACATTACCACATGAATTCAACGGTCTTAGCTCCACTAATTCACAAAATCAACTGACACAGCAGAGAGCTAGATAGGAAAAATCTTATACTTCAACATCCTCCATAGTGCTACACTACCTCCCTAGGTTGCACATTACTAGAGAGGCTGTCAATTCAAAGCATACTGAGCAGGCAATTTGCAAGGAAACACGTACTTGGAGCCCTCAAATTTAAAATAAAATTTGTACAGTGGACTAGGCTCAAAGCACACAAACAATCAAACATTCACCCGCATACATAATCGAACATCCCCCCACACTTAAGCACGACATTGTCCTCAATGGAGGAAAGATAAGGAGAGTAGAACGAAGTTACCAGATCAAGGGTGAATGATGATGGATGGGGCAGGCAGTGCATTCCAAGAAGAGAGAGTAATCAGAACACAAACACCACACAAAATCTCACAAAGGTTGAGTTATTGACTCTAAAATAAAAAAACAAAACTGACTCAACCGAGGAGAAATAGAGAAAGAAATTCAAACCGACTGGTTGGGTTGCCTCCCAACAAGCGCTTCTTTCACATCGTGAGCCGGACGATGGCTCCTAAGTTTCAGTCCATGCTAGAACCTCCTTGAAGTTGAGGTTCTCGTCAATGAGGTGGAGTCGCAAGTCACGAGCATGTGGTATGACTGGTGATGAAAGCTCGTGCACTTGATGCAGATGAAGTCTCCATCCTCGAGACCTCTTCTTCTCTTCTCTCGTCCCATTACCCCAAACCAGATATGACAGCATCGATTGGCCACCATCGCGTCCACCAAGAGGGACCGATGTCGATGTGGCCTTGGTCTGGCAAAGAGACACTGCAAATGGGTCCTTGCTAAGCAGTTCCTCGAAGTTTGGTGGGGATATTACTTGTATTATAGGGTCGGTGCAAGCCTCTTCCACCTCAACTTCATCCTCAGCCTGGACACCACTCGCTTCTTCAACCCCCCTTCCTTCTTCAAAATGTGGTCTCTATCCTCGGAAAAGATCAAGAACTACCTCTTCTTTGCTTTCTTCCTCATCCTCCACAACTTCTTTCCTCACCCTTTCTCTCTCTTCTTCTTCCATAACTGATTAGAGAGCAAGTCGCCATGCAAGGTTCTCAATAAGTTCAACTTGCATCTCCTCACTTGGGCCCAGCATGTTAGAGAGGAAATGGGGAAAGTTGTGATCTACCACCAGAGGAGTCATGGGAGCTTTCCTTGACAACTTATGTATGCTCCTCAACATCCTCATGATTGCCTTCTTCTTCCTCCACCTCTACTTGTATGGCAGCATAAAGGTTGTCTTGAGAAAACTGTGCACTCTATGTGCTTCTTTATGCTCCGAAGGGTATCCTCTGTTTCACGGGGAAAGGAGAAGTCAGTTTGGGCCATGGCCTGGATATGAGGATCCATCTCGGGAAAGGATCTCTCAGGTACTCGAGCAATCTGCTCCACGAGAAGCCTCAAGTGATAGTTTGGATCTGGCTGTGGAGTGTAGTATGGCTCTGC